GATTCTTCTAAGTCGACATTGGAGGGTGATTTTCATACAGCTGATGGGCTTGGATTATGATATCCCACTCTGATTCCTTGGCCTCCAATTATGGTGCGTTGGGAGGCACCGTCTCCAAGATGGTTCAAGCTTAACACAGATGGTGCTTCGCTTGCCAATCCGGAGCGGCATGTATTATCCGAGATTCGGAAGAAGCATTACTCATAGTGTTTCAGACCCCGATTCCATAGGCGACGAACACTTTGGCAGAGCTGACGGTGATTCAGACTGGAGTTTGGATAGCGATTGATCAAGGACTGATGCCACTATGGATTGAGACATATTTGACAGCATGCATCTCTTTGATCTCCTCCGAGATAAGCGACTCGACTCTCCAGCGATGCCTTATGTGTATTCGATTGTGGCTTAGGGATGCAACCTTGCGGATATCTTATATATATGGAGGGGAATTGTGTCGCGGATGCCTTAGCGACTTTAGCAGTTTCTCTTCCAATTTGACAGACACTTATCCCTACAGATATCCCTTCATCGACTAGAGGCCTCTTTCGAGCTGATGCAAACGGTCTCCCAACTTCCTGTTTCAGGTAGCAGGCTTCACCTACTTACTTGTCTTTGGGACACTTATGCTTAGACTTGATAGGCTTGGTGGTGTTGATTCCTTAGGCATACCTAGGCTTGTATGGTCTGCTTGTTTGGCTTGGACTATATAGCTTGTATCAGCAGAACTACGTATGGTTTGATCCCTTTCGGGTACGTAGGCAGCACAATTTTGGCGCAACCTTTGCTATATATAAAAAAAAAATTGATAGGCCTTTCAACAGTCAGGTTAATGATTTTGGGCTGTCGCAGTTCGGCTCTGATATCAATTGTGACAACCCGGCTTGCAAGCCCCGCAAAGCCGGGTTTGCTAGGATCATAGACTGGCCCTACAGGTCAACACAAGTCATTCTAACGCACTTCTGTCCTCACTAACATGCACCGTGGGAGATTTCTTAGTGGTCACCCATCATCAGTACAACTACCGAAAAGGAATGTGCATATTTTTAACATGAGTAGTCTATTCAATCCATTTAATTAGTATTCAATTTCGGATGGCCTCACACCGGCTCATCCACGTGAGTTGGCCTAGCACCGATCCAACTCCGGAGGTATTAAAAACATCTGCAGTTTGATTGTTTGAATATACAGGGCCTAACTTGACGTTTCCATAAGTAATATGATGATTAACAAGATGCCAATCAATCTCGATTTATTTGGTGAGCTCATGAAAAATATCATTGTGAAAAATTATGATAGCACTTCTATTGTTGCAATGCAAAGGAATACAAGATGACTGCGGTACTTCAAAGTCATCAAGTAATCAACAAAACCACAGGAGCTCAAAAGTAGCATCAGCAAGGGCACGATATTCGAATTTAGTACTGGAATGAGAGACAACTATTTGTTTCTATCTACGCCAGAAGACAAAAGAATCGCCAATAAAGAAGCAAAAACTAGTGGTGGGGCAATGATCTGTAGGATCACTTGCCCAATCAACATCAGAGTAACCATATAAAGTTAAAAGAGACTGATTTGAGAAGTTTAATCTATGCAATAGTGTTTCCTTAACACAACCAAGAATACGCAGAACTGCAGAATAGCGTGTAGTGCGAGGTGCATATATGAATTGACAAGCAGATGGACACCGTAAGCAATATTAGAATGAGTGACTATCAAGTAAATCAATATGCCAATAAGCTGGCGATAAAGAGAAGGCTCTTAAAGACAGTCCCATCCATTGATGTAAGACAATATCCAACATTGAGGGGTGTCAAATCTATCTTGCAATTAGTGACGATGCAACATATCAAAAGCATACTTAGCTTGGGACATGTAATATACATTAGAACCATAAAAAAAACTCAAGACCCAAGAAATACCGAAGATGGAAAAGACTTTTCATATCAAAATGCTTGCAAAGGTAGTTATGTAAATCAAATATGCTAGATTGATCATCTCCAATGAGGATCACATCATCAATATAGAGAAGTAACACAATGATACCATAAATACTTCGTTGAACAAAAATGGCAGAGTCGTGCAAAACTAAAGTGATGCCAAACTAAAGAAGAACTGAAGTTAACTTGGAAAACCAAGCACTAGGAGTCTGAATGAAGCCATAAAGAGCATGTCGTAACTTGCAGACTTCAAAAGAAGGTAAAGAACCAATAGACAATGCCATATAAACATTCTCAAATAGATCATCATGGAGAAGGTCATTCTTGACGTCTAACTACAAAAGAGACCACTAACGAACAACCGCAGTTACAATTAAACAACGAAAAGAGGTGCCACCAGAGCAAAGGTTTCCTCGTAATTAATTTCATGTTCCTATTATTAGCCTTTCACAACTAAACGAGCCTTATAACACTCAACTGACACCATCAAACATTGTTTTCATATTTAAAATCCATTTGCAGCCAATAGGTGTTTTCTCTGAAGGTAAATCAACAAAGACCTATGAATGAATTTTCTCTAAAGTTTGCAATTGTTGAGACGTCTCTTTTTGCCACAATGGATCATAATTTTATTCATGAAATGAGCTACGCCCATGTAGAGTTAGCATAACAGAAAATAATGATAATCAGACAAATGAGTAGGTGGATGACTTACTTGATGTGGTCGATAAGATATGACATGAATGAAGGTAAACCAAAAAGAGATAATGCATGGAATGTAGAGATGATTGAAAGTATTACACTCTCTCAAAATTTAAATGATGATAGATACACAACTATTTATAGATCAGATCCCAAAGCCTATAACCTTTGTGCACTATCCCATAACCGAGAAGACAATATAAACATGCACGAGGTTCCAATTTGAAACGTTCATGCGGAGGAATAAGGATAAAACCAACACCACTGAATGGACGGAGAATACCATATTTGAGGTAATTTTGATGTGTTTCAAAAAATATATCCATATAAAGTGGGAGTAATCATTTATGAATATGACATAATAATGACTCTCACTTATATAGGGAACAAGAGAATGACTCAACATATCAAATGAACCAAAGAAAATTGTTTAATTACGATCTACACATTTGTGGAAAGGATAAGGCTAATTAATTGTCCAAACGATAGTGTTAGCAGTCAAATGACTCAAAACTAGTAGAACCCAAATGACCTTTACTAAATAGAGACCTAATTTATTCCATGTATGCAATTTTCTTAGAAGCAATTTTGAAAACTGAAGAAGACAGGAATTCATCATCCTTTGTCCAATTTTTACAAATTTCCAAGTATTTTTTTTTGTTTGGTATATTTGAGTGTGTTTGTTTTGTGTTTGATGCATTTTTAATGTTATATAAAAGGAAGTGCATAAGTAATATAAAATATAATATTTTATATTAAACTTTTGATTTTTTAGTAGATATAATATATTATATAATTTGTGTAAAAACATTTATACATGGTATTTTTTATAATATTCATTGGAAAGTCTATCCAAATATTTTGGGTTCAGTGAGAAAACTCATTATTTTTTTTTTGTAATTTCTTAAAATATGGTCGATGATGTAATTGTTTTCGATGGTTGGTTCATTTTTCATATGCGTCTTTCTTTTTTCTCAATCTGAAAATATCATTTTATAAAATAATTAATTATTAGACGGTGATGATAAAGAATCGTTGTTAAAAGATGAATTTTGTAATAATTATAGTTGAAGTTACTACACTAAACCAATAATTCCTGGAGTACGTATTTCTTTTTTAAAGTTTTTTTTTTTTTTGCTATTTTATATATATTAACAAAATTTGAATTTTTAAATAATTATTAGATTATGAATTTTAATTAAAAATCAGATTCGATGATGATGTTTTCTCGAGGAAAATTTATTTAATATCCAAAAATTTAATCGAAAAAGAAAAGAAACATATTGGTCTCTTTATTTCAATCATTATATATAATAAAGATCGCTATTTCTTTGCTTTCTCTTGACTTCGCAACCACTTCTAGCATTAAGGCATATGGTCATCGTTTATGAAACAATGACAAATTTTTTTGCATTCATTTTGGTGATATATGTGTCTGGAAAGATTAGCTTTATGTTTGATTTGTTTGCGCCCACAAGATTGATCCCAGTTTTTGACAATTTGTCCAGAGTGATCATAACTGAAGTTTGAGATCATAAAAAGAGAAGGGGGAGAAGGGTTTTATGGAAACCTTAATCTTGATTTAAGTGGCATATTATCATTTTTTTTTTTTTTTTGGAAACCATTGCTATGTATGAGATTTACTAAAACTTCGTACTCTCACTTTGCTTCTACATGTTTTACATGGGAGGGAGTTGCTATATAGAAACAAGATAGGCTTGAAAATTTCTACAAATTGTTTCGATATATTCATGAACTTTTGTTAAAATAGCAAACTATAAATTTATTTATTCATTACATTCATGATATTTTATTTATCTATTTGATAGATGAATTTTAGGGTGTGTTTACTTGTGATTTGATTTGATTTTGATGTTTGAGATCAAGATAGTTTTTACGGTAAAATAATCTTAAAATTGAATTCAAAGCCACAAGTAAAATATAATTTTTACATAATTAATTTCTATCTCTTTCCCGGTCATATGATTTATCTTTTTTTTTTTTTTTTTTTTTTAATGTCGGCCACAATTTGAATTAAACTAAGTTATTTTTGGACTCCTATGTTTATTAAATCTAGAATCTAGAATTGAGTGAGTATTAGGATATATCAAACTAAATGCATCTAATCTAGGAGAGTCAAATAATATTATTTGATCTTGAGGTGAATATTTTTCAATCTATTTTTAGATTCCTTTTTATTTTTCGTTTGATACATTGTGTCGTCATTGTTATTCAATTAGTTTTTTTCTATGCTTAAACAAAAACTCAAATCAACGCGATTGTGAAAATAAAGTAAATATTCTATGGATTTTTAATGTCATTTTTATCAACTCGATATTCTAAAATATTCCATTTTTACAGTATTCTTGAGGCAAGTTTGAAGGCAGAGAAAGACACAGCAGATTCTCTTATAATTTGTTGAGATTTCAATTTCTACATTATGGTAAGATTTTTCATTTTATTTATTTTTTAAATATTTATTTGTATTTACATTTTCTTAAAATAATATTACTTTTTGATGGGTTTAAGGTAGCTATTGTAATGGGCTGGGTCTAATTATTTGAGAAGACATCAAATATATCTAGATTTGAATATTTATACCGGTTTAAATTTTGTATCCCGTTAATATAATATTGTCAAAAAGAATATTTTATATTTTTATGTAGGATGTCATTTTAAGAGATAATACAAATATTTGTCTTTAAGTAATATATTGTGAAAATTTATCAAATTATTTAAGATATTTATTATTTGCCTCACTTAGGGTGTGTTTTTTTGGTTGAGTTTGAAAAAAATTAGTTTGAGTTTGATATTAAAATAATATTTGATGAGATGTTTTGTAAGAGGAAAAAATATTTTTTTTTTTGTTTTTTGTTTTTTGTTTTTTTTGGAAACACAGAATCCAAATAGTAAAATTTTGGAAAATTTTGGGTAAAGAAATATACCATTAGTTTTACGTGGACAAAGATTAAATATTTTTTTGTTATCAATGTCACAGCTTTTTTATGACATTAGATAACTTATTAGGTCTATTAGATATATGTTTGGCATAAATTACAGTTAGAATATTCCTATGTCAAATAATCTATTTGTAGTTTGTGAAGAATTTGAGTTGACCTTCCATTTATATGTTTTCTAAGTATAAAATTAAATTTTGTTTTTGTTCCAAATTCCAATACAAATATACTTTGATGTCATTTTTTTTATTATTATTTATAAAGTTAGTGCGCATTTGTCTATATTGCATGTTGGTTTTTTTTGTTCTTTTTTTCTTTTTTTTCCAATCATAGGTTATAAAACTAAATGTCAGAACCATTATTTATACAAAAACAAAATAGAATGCCAGGCTAATGGGTTTTACAAAAATGATCTGTTGTAACTTATTTATTACTAAATAGAATGCCCAATACAACTATTCCCATGAAAATGATCATTTTCTTTATCCCACTGCGTTTAAAATTCTGCACCAATTATAATCAAAGTATGCGTTGAGAACATTTCAATTGAGTTCAAATTAGCTAACAGAAATGATACATTTGAACCAACAAATGACATCATGAGCTCAGAATCAACAATGGGAATGTACAACGGAGTTATTGTAGTTAGAGACGAAAGAAGGGATTCTCCGTGGAGGCATGAGGGGAATGGCAGAGCCATCGTACTAAGAGATGAGAGAAGGGAATTGGCGTCTCCTGCACTGAGGATTCGTAAGTTCCTCCAGTCCAAGATAACACCGGAGATGCTAGAGATTCCTCCGTGGTGCGTTGGAAGGGTTAGTGCTGCTGAGATATGGTCGACAGGGATGAAGTGGCCCATCACTACCCAACACCACCCATGCTCGAGTGGGTTGAGCCTGTGAGAGATGTGCCATTGCTGGAGGCGGAACCTGTAGTAACTGAAGAAACACGAAATAAGATATCTGCAATGATCAAGCATATATTTGGAAGCGGTGATGCTCTAATGTTTGCCTTTTTTCTTTTTTGTTTCCTTATCAATAAAATCTTCATGGGAGAAAAAATGTACTGTTATGATTTCTCCAACATGGTTGTAGATTCTGAAATGGAGCTTGATGCATACCAGGTTTTGAGCTCGTGGCTAAGTATATTGTTGTTGAAGCTATACCTGCTTCCATTTCGAGAAATATAATAATCATCATATGGGCAATTGCTTTCGCTTTTGTAGGTGGATAACGCTTGTTTCGATAGCTTTGAAGAGGTAGATGATCAAGAAGGTAATGGCTGACTAAATTAAATTCTTACATTTGAAATCATCGATTGACATTCTCATATTTGCATCTCTTATTTTAGGGAAAGTAACTGAAAATGAGAGGAAAATGTTGCAGAAGAAAAGCAGCACGGAAAGAGGTAGTCTTTGGAAGAAGAATTCACGAAATTTTAGAGTATTTGAGGAATCGAGCTCATACTTATTCTAGAATTTTTGGCAATGAGTGTACACTGTCGGAACTAGACTGCCACTACAACCAGGATAATTCTGAAAGCCCCTCCGATACGGAGGCTCTCCTTGAAGAATGCCATGAAACTGATGATTTGGAAGGAGATTCGGGGGATAGTGTCAGCAGCAGCAGTAGCAGAGGACGAGGCCAAAACAATTTGACATCTCCAAGTTTCTAGAAGAATCCTTCTCGAACCACCATCTGGGACAATGCATACCAGTGAAGCTGAAGACTACCCTGCACTTCCGAAGAAGTTCAGTTTTGAAGACAATGTCGTGCCACTGACAGAAGAGGAGCAGAGAGAAGCTGAGTTGATGAAGGAGGTAGTCGATTTGATTGATGAGTTGAACTTTAACCGCGCTATGGTAGAAATGGAGACGATTACCGGCTGTGAGGTAAGTCATATAGTTTCAATATAGAATAACTCATTCGACACGGATTCAGAACTTATTCAGCACTATTTTAATTCAGAAAGCAATATTATAACTAGCGTCACATTTACGGCCTGCAGGCTGTTCAAGTGAATGAGGAGGAGGAGGAGGAAGACACTCAGGAGCGCAGATGTGCTCGAGGGCTGCAGAAGCACAGAACAGATGCCTCGACTGCTTGCATATCAATTCCATCGGTGGGCACTTGCGACTTGCATTTTTGGATGAGGTAAGGATGAATAGACACCTCATACTAGTATGATGCTGAATGAAAAAGTGCTCATCTTCAGCGACTACATGTGGAATCCACACCCCACCCCGGTGACCCCACCTCACCAGCACTCTCCTTCTTTATTCCCCAACCGATTCTCATTCTCATTCTCATTCTCATTCTCATTACAATGCATTTCATTTCATTATTAGTACTCCCTTACCCAACCCAAATCCAATAAATTAATTCATTCGCCCTACACGTTTTCCATTCTCCTTCTTCTTTATGTGAAGAATCTCAACTTCCTCCTTTTCTGCACTCTGTTTCTCCAATTTCTCCTCAATTCAGGCTTCCTTTAATTTCCTAGCTAGCTCTGTGTCCTAACCTCAATGTTCCATTATTAATGTGTTCGCAGGTTGTTTGATTTGATTTTTTTGTTTGTTGCGGACATACAGGAAGAGAGAGAGAGAAAGTGGAGCTTCCGAGGTGAAGAGATATGGCGGCGGCGAAGCTGGAGAAGAGCTACTTCGATTTGGTCGGACTTTGCTGCTCGTTGGAGATTCCGATGATCGATCGAGAAAATTCTTGACAAGTCTTTATTATATTCCGCCCTTGGATCGGATGAAAGAGGCTCTGAATCAAAGCAGCAGATGCCCGAGATTGAGGACAGGATTCTGGAGATATGGTTCAGCACACCAAGACAAAGATATACTTTAAAAGGTCATCCACCAGCCGAAGAACGCTGACTTGATCCAGTCCTTGGGCGTCAGAGGTTGAGAATATTCCTGGGACCGGGAGCATATATAAACTTATCGTGTTGAGTTAAAGTTTTTTCTGAGGAAACAAATTGATGAATTGATTGATCATTTTTGTTTGGGAATTGTTTGGTTGATTTGTTGCAAGAAACAAAATGCTATTGATTGTGCAGTTTTTTAAGAAGTTGGGAATTATATTTTTTCTCTCTTATCATTAGGTAATTTTAGTTTGTTTTATGGCATAAACAAAATATAATTGGTTGTCATTCCTATAGGTTCTGATGATTTTGAAATGCAGAAATATGTAGAGTAGGTTGTGATTTGTATAGATTTATGATGAATTTTGTAACTTTTTAATTTTTTTTTTTGACCAATTGTTAATTTGAAATTGCTCTAAATTTGCACAAAATGTATTCGATTAGATAGATTAAGTTATAAGATTTTAAGAATATTCTCTTAATATTTTGATAGTGATTGTTGCTTAGTGTACTTTGTTATCCTTCTATTAGATAAGTGTATTATATATGACAAAATTTTGAAATAATTTTTATCTTTTAGTTGTCTGTTAAATTTTTTTTTTTGTACAAACAATACTTTTGTTATTTAGTGATTTAGAAAAGGTAATGTATTGCTAATGGAAAATGAGATGATGCATCCATTAAGTTGGACATGATGAATTGAGTAAAAGAGATTTTTAGTGAAATGAAAATCCCTAAAAAAAGAAAAGTATTTCTTAAAAAAACTCTCTAATTCCAAAATTTCAACTGAAAAGACAGTATCCTTTGGAATTCAAATTTAAGATTCCCGGAAACATTTTTGTCCTTTCACTTTTATTATTTCACACAAAAAGTTATGCAATAATAGAATTTCAAAAAAACAAAAATGCATTATTTCTAATTTCAAATTTTCAAACCAATCCAATCAAAGTAGTTGTTTGTTGTTGTAAACATTCTTTAACTTATCCAAGTCACAGAGAAATTAATGAACCCCTGACCTTCAGTTATGGGTCAGAGTTCTTGGAAATTGGGAAGTACCAATACAAAAAAATAATATATTTGTAACGGAATTTCGTGTAATTTCATTCTTATTTCCGCCTCTAATGTCATTAGTAACAGAAAAAATAGATTTAGAGACAAAAATAAAGTTTTGTTAAAAAATAATTTTCTCTTGTAGTGTACCTTATACATCAAATATGTCATGTGTAAAAAAGAAATTTAATTTTCATACCACTAAATTAATCTAACTGAAAGAATGTCGGACAACCAATTCAATCAAAGCAGTTCATCCTTCTAATATTCTTTGACTTATCCACAAAAAGAATTAAATTATACATTGATTTCTGTTAGATGTCAGAAGTTGGAACTAACTTATCCATTAAAATTTTCACATACACCCCAAAATCGGTGCAAAATGTCAGGAAAAGAATGATCAACAATGAACTTTTATTTATTACATATAACTTTACAATTTACCAACCAATGTGAAGGGTATGTTTATTCTGCTTTATTTATTTATTGGACATGTTTGTTCTACTTTTGAATTATAGTATGCTCGTAAGTATATATAGTTTTAAGAAAAAATATATAGTTATTAAATACTTAAATTCATCTCTTTTTGGACTTTTCGTTTGTATTATGGTTATTTTTATTATTTTTTCTTAAACAATAGTTTAATTTGATGTGATTTTGTGAGAAATAATTATATTCTTATTTTTATAATAAAACACAATCTTATTTCCTGCCTTTCACACAATCACACAAATAAGAACATATTTTATTCTTACAAAATCACATCAAATTAAACTATTATTTAAATAAAAAATAATAAAAAGTAACCGGAATATAAATGAAAAGTCCAAAAAGGAAAAACTTAAGGTTGTCTTCTTTTCTGAGTTTTATCGCAAGTTTTTACTATTCAGATTTTTTTTTACTCAAAAAATATCATATTAAACAATTAATTTTTTTTGTTACGTTATACTACAAATTTATTTTACATTTAAAATATCACATCCAACAAATATTCAAATTCAACTTTTTACTATTAAAAAATCCAAACCTAAAAACTAAAATCCACAAACAAACACACATTAAGTATTTAATAACTATATGTTTTTTTTTCTTGTTACTATATATAGTTACCGGTAAGACTATAATTCAAAAATAGAACAAACACATTGGTAAATGGTAAATTCAATCATTATATGTAATACATAAAAGTCATTGTTGTCCATTCATTCACTGACATCTTGCAATAATTTTTTGGTGTATGTAAAAAATATAATGCATAACTTAGTGATGCCTAATAGAAATTTAGGTATAATTTAATACTTTTTGTTGGATAAGTTAAAGAATATTCAGAATGATGAACTGTTTTGATTGGATTGGTTGTTTGCAACTCTGATCAGTTAGATTAATTTAGTGGTGAGAAAATTAAAGCATGGTTAGAGCATGAAACAACTACTTTGATTGGATTGGTTTGGAAAATTAAAATTGGAAATGATGCACTTTTATTTTTTACAATAGATCAGACTATCACCGGAGGCTGCATTTTACACGTACTGCCTTTCTTCTGCAACATATTTCTCTCATTTTCAGTTTATGTCCCTAAATAAAGAGATGCAAATATGAGACTGTCAATCAGTGATAATTTTCAAATATTAGAATTTTCTTTAGTCAGCCATTGCCTTCTTGATCATCTACCTCTTCTATCCTATCCAAAACAAGCGTTATCTACCTACAAAGGCGAAAGCAATTGCCCATTTGAGTATGATTGTAGTTCTTGAAATAGAAGCAGTATAGCTTCAAGAATAATATACTTACCCACGAACTCAAAACCTGGTATGCATCAAGCTCCAAATGACCACAGGACGTGCAAATTAATCCTTGGTTACCTATATAGCGCAGGTCATGGTTTTGTCGGTGCGTCCTTCATTTTGAGCTGCATGGAGCTCTTCATCGACCTGCAGCTCATGGAAGTTCAATATGAGTATCAAATAAAAGATTAGAAATGCATATATAGTGAAGTAGATAGCCCATCCTAGAGGTATATAAAACCAACTTTGTTCACTTTGAGCACCAATGATGCTCTTCTCCATCCTTGGTAATTCTTTGATCGGTGATTATCTTATATAATAAAGTAAAAATGGTTAAAAATAATTGAATTCTTCAAAACAAAATATCAATAGTTTTACTGCAAGCCATGTATGTCATCATGATGGATGATTATCATAAAGTAGGAAAAAATTCATACTCCTCGTGAAATATGAAAATATTAAATGAACATCTAAATATTCCCTTTAGATTCCATTCAATATGCTTGAGTGTTGAAAGTTAACAACATGGAGATGCATATGAAAAAATTTATTGAACAAAATAGACCCTCCAACCCCCAAAAATATTATGCTCTTGATAACACATAAGCAATCTAACTAAATAATAATGTTTTAGATGTAGAGTAAATCTCATGTGTTGAAATTACAATATTTTCAAAATCACTACCACTCTAGAATGCTGATTTAGACTTTCTTAAAACCGTTCTCCCCTCTTTGTTTTGAGGATTTCACAACTATGGTTTTTTTACCATGTGAATCCAATGGTCAAATTACAAAAGAACAACATATATGATGATGAGGTCATAAAATGATTTTATTTTCACATTGCCAAATTGATCTAAGCAAGTGCCCTTACATCAATCCACCAAACCTATATAGTCAAAGTAGACTTGCAAGAAAAAAAAAAAAAAAAAAAAAAGCACCATATGTACTATTGACATACAAGGGTAACACTTTAATTTTCATATAAGACAAACACATTTTTTTTTGTGTAACATTAGTTTAAAAACTAATCAGGATCTGTTTCATTTTCAAAAAAATTTCAACACATTCCCCCCAAAACACTAATATAGTACACACACATTATTTTTTTATTATCTACATAATTTCTAATGATATGCCTTGAAGCTAGTGTGCCACTTGTTCATATGGCATTGTAATGATGCATCTACAAGTGAGATTCAATTCAAGGTGAAGATTTGTTGATATGCCTTGAATCTAGGGATATGATCTGAAGATTATATATTATATCTTAGATTTAGAGATATGATTAAGATATTAGATATTATATTCTAGATTCGGATATTTGATTGGTATATTATTGGCATAGGCTTATGCTATAAATAGGCATGTATTCCCATTCTAACAAGTGGCCAAGTGGCTCGGCTCTGAAATCTGTAATCTTGCCATCTTGAATAAATTTGTTCTCCATTTCTGCCCGTGGATGTAGCCAACACATTGTTGGTGAATCCCGTAAATATGTGTGTTCTTTACGTTTTCTGTTAGTTATTTGATCGTTAACCTTTATCCATCACAACAAATTGGTATAAGAGCCTGGTCATTTTTTATCAGGGTTTTTGTTTATTTCCGCTCTACTAGGGTTTCGTGAGTTGATAAAAATGTCTGCTTTCAACGTAAGTGTTGACAAATTTATGGGGAGAAATAGTTTTGGCTTATGGCAGATCAAGATGCGATCTTTGTTGAAGCAACATGGTTTGTGGGCACCCCTATCTGGAAAATAGAAAGGTAAAGAAGTAGATGATGAAGAGTGGGATACCGCGGAGGAGAAGGCGCACTTCACAATCATGTTCTGTTTTGTCCGATGATGTAATCATCGAAGTTGATGATCAGAAAACTGATGTTGGCCTCTGGAAGAAGTTGGAGAGTTTGTACATGACGAAATCTCTAGCCAATATAGTTGCTTTTGAAGCAATGTCTGTTCATGCTACGAATGCAGAAATGAACTGCTGATATATTAACCAAATCGGTCCTTCATAGCAAGTTTCAACATTGTTTGGAGTAACTAAATGTCACAAGCTAGTAGTTGCCCGATGAGGGACAAATCTGAGGCAAAATGAAGGAGTCTGTTCATATGGGGTCGTAATGATACATCTGGAAGTGGAATTCAAGTCAATGTGGAGATTGGTTGATATACCTTGAAGCTAGTTTGCCACGTGTTCATCTGAGATTGTAATGATGCATCTGAATGTGAGATTCAAGTCAAGATGGAGATTTGTTGATATGCCTTGAATATAGGGATATGATTTGGATACTAGATATATGATTTGGATATTAGATATTATATCCTACATTTAGAGATATGATTTGAATATTATTGACATAGGCTTATGCTATAAATAGACATGTATTCCCATTCTAACAAGTGGCCAAGCGGCTCGGCTCTAAAATCTGTAACCTTGTCGTCATGAATAAATTTGTTCTCCGTTTCTGCCCGTGGATGTAGCCAAC